TTTGGGGTCCCATCCTGACAAGAGACCTTAAGTCTGCCTTTCACACAAGTGAAGGTGTTGTGCCCGCTGTTAGTTGGTGGCTGGCACACTTTGAGATTTGGTCACAGGCACGGCATTCAGTGGTGGGAATAAATACAGAGAGCCAATGGGCTTGGGACACCCCAAGTCCAATTCCTGGCTTCCTTTTTCCCCTGGGCCTTGGGGCTCTTCCTTCCTCCCTGCCCTCCTTCTCCCCCGGCAGCTGACCCAGGGGAGGTAAACAAACACCGGGCAGGCTGAACCCCGAGAGGTCTGGGAGTGCTCTGGGGCGGGATCGCCACCCCAGCACCGCCCCCCCCCCCCCCCGCAACTTCTCCGCCGATCAGATCCACGGGTCGCCTGCTGTCCCGCGCCCGGGGGCCGAGGCCAGCGCGGTGGCCCCAGCGGCCCAGCTGCGCGCTCAGCTGCGGGCGCACGATCCTGACTTTGAGCTGCCCTTGAACGCAGCGCGGGGCGCTGCTCTGGGGACGATAGGGGGCCTCCCACCCACCACTCACCCACCGTCGGAGCGGGACACCCGGGTGCCAGGGGCAGCCCGAGGCCCGGGCAGCCGTGCCAGGCGGCCAGGAGGCAGCAGAGGAAGGTGCCCAGCAGTGCCATGGCGAGCCGTGGCCACCAACCCAGGGAGACTCGGGCGGGCTCGGGTGTCCTGGGACAGTCAGGCCCTTGGGGGGTGGGGGTGGGGTGGGGAGGAGGCACTAGGCGATTCCGGGTGTAGACGCCCAGCCGATCACGTGCAGAAGCTGATTTTCCCCCAAAGCGTGCGTTTATCTGAACGTCAGCTGCTAGGGAGTGGTCGTTAAGTTGTTGTCCTGTTCTCAGTGGACCGGGAAGGCGTGCTCAGGCGGGCACCTTCCCAAGGCCCCACCGTGCACTACAGTAGTTAGCGCCTCTGGCAGGAAGTTGTGCAGAGCAATTTGGAGGGAGGTGCGGTTTGGACTGGACTGCTGCGGGGAGTTGGGTTTAAGGCCGTGGGTCTCAAAGGGCTACCTTGACACGTTGTGGGACGTGCAGCTTCAGCAGCAATTCAGGGAGGAGAGACCAGCCTGACGCATAGTAGGCAGACACTCTCCCGCTGGTGTTACACCCCAGCAGTATGATAATACCTGCTTGGTAGTAGCCAGTCTACTTCATTTTTCCCACTGTTCTGTGACTACAAAATTCCATGTGTCCTCTTCCATAGTGGAACATGTCATTCAGCATAAATTGAATTCATTATTCCCAGTTCCTGGTCACTTCACTCATATTTGGCTCTGAACAAGCTATGTTGTTCTTTCCTTAGAAGTGTTTATTTGTTTGTGTATGTGTTCATCTGGATCTTGAACTCAGGACCCCGGAACTGTTCCCCCACCCCTCAAGGCTAGCACTCTACCACTTGAGCCACTGCTCTATTTTTGGGTTGGGGATGATTAATTGGAGATCATACTTCCCTGCCCTAACAGGCTTTGAATCACAACCCTCAGATCTCAGCCTCCTGAGTATTATATACATGAACCACTGGCACCTAGCAACAGTTGTTATTTTTTACACTAACAATATTGTACAGTACCTTTATGTTGCATCAGAGAAAACCTTAGTTTCTGTCCTGTGTGTTTTCATGAGAATGTGTCTAATTAAATGAGCTTTGAAGTAGGAACCGAGTGTCATTTCAAGTCCTGACAGGATAGTGCCAGTCTTGTTCAGCTTGCAGGTGATTCAAAAGCAGCACAAGTAGCCAGGGGCTTTCCCAGAACAAAATGATCCCAGCAGTTTCTCAGCCCTTAATGTAGACTGCCAGCGAGAAGGTAGGTAGAACATGGAAACAGAGATGCACTTGTGAGAGAGAGATCAATATCAAGGTTAGCAAATAACCACATGTGAGTTCCCAAGCCGAAAGAAAGGAGGTAGATAAATTGTAAAAATGTCAGGGTTTGCCCATTTCCCTTCAATTTCCAGTACATTAGACAAGGTATAAACTGGCTGTGAAATAGTTGAAACCCAGGAAATGTTGTCTTGCATAGAGTAGAATAAGTGGGGAGAAGTACCAGTCTCCATTCTGTTCCATTTTCTCTTCTTGTTTTCCTCCGTACTCATTTCCACCTTCTCAGATTCTCAAGGCTTCTCCCGGCTCTGCGCCCTCACCCTGGACCTGTTTGTAGATGTGCCTGTTTATCTTGAGGAGAAGAACCACGAGAGATGAGAGCAGAATTCCATACTTGCTCTCCACTGTCTTTGTGTAAACTTCACTAAATAGCTTCTAGCCTAGCTTATATTTTTAAGACCATTCTCTTTCCCAGACCTCTTGGTGAAGGTGAAGAAGTTAAAAAAAAGTTTTAAAGTTAGTATGTTGACACATCGCTATGTGAGAGACCTTTTCGTTGGAAAGAAAATGATTTGAATCTACGCTATAAACAGTAAACAAATATATGTTGAAATGTGTCTAGAAATATACGTGTGATCCCCACCGAGAACTTGATCTTCTAGCCCACTGTGGCATTGTTTTTCCTATTTAGACTTCCACGCCTTCTCTGTTGGAAATTAATATTATTGATGTGAGCTGATTCTCACGAGCTGAATAGATACCCTGTTCTTGCATTGTACGTTTAGCACAGAATCTGTTTCTACACCATAGGCAGAAGTCATCAAGTGGGCAGCACTTGCCAGAAGTAGAGAAAATACTAATTGGATAACTGGAGAGAACATCCTCTTAATGTTCTGTTTCATGTGTTTAAAGACAGCAGTAGACTCTGCAGGACCAGAAAGCTTAGTTATTTAATCTTGTCTTGACAGTAATACTTGTGCATTCAATGTTAAATCATATCACTATGCTTTACATTCTATTTCTCTAACTTATACTAAACTACAAATGGAGTATCTCCAATACAAAATTCCTAAATCCAAGATTCTCCAAAGTCCCAATGTTTAAGCACTGACATCATGTGACAGGCACCAGGAAAAGCACATCTGCACTGAAAATACCATCTAATTTGGCATTCGCTATATGCAACAGGTGCATATGAAACATAAATGAATTGTGTCATTTAACTCGGATCCTAGCACAAAGATTTTTCATTTATGTGTATAAATTTAAAACATGTATGCAACATCCAAAAATCTCTGATTTCATGAATTCTGGATAGTCATCTAAATAATAATAAGCAATAATATCATTGCAGTTAATTTTTGAGTTAAAAGAATTACCCTCATATTTACAAGTTATTGTATCTGGGATAACTTATGAAAACGTACTGAGTTTACTAGGTTGATAAAACAAAAATATTGTATGGGTAAGGCATAGTGGTACATACCTGTAGTTCCAGCTACCCTGGGAGGCAGAAATGAAAAGATGCTAGTTTGAGGTAAGCCTGAGCAAAAAGTTAATAAAGACTCTATCTTGACAAACAAGCTGGGTGTATACCTCTAATCTCAACTGTTTGGTCTGCCAGAGGCTGGTAGCTCACATCTGTAATCTTAGCTACTGAGGAGGCTGACATCTGAGGGTCACAGTTGGAAGCCAGCACGGACAGGAAAGTCAGTGAGAGTCTTTCGAATAAACTACTCAGAACAAGCTAGAAGTAGCACTGTGGCTTAAGTGGTAGAATACTAGACTTGGGAACAAAGAGGCTAAGGGACCAACAAATAGGCTCAGGGACAGCGTCCAGGCCCTGAGTTCAAGCCCCAGGACCAGATTAAAAAGAAAAAAAGAATAGCATGGTCCGTCCCCAGTAGGACAGTTATGGTCCAACAAATCATGAAGCTTTGTCTAAACATAAACTAAAACCAAAAAATCTGAGGAATGGCTCAAATGACAGAGCACTTGGCTAGCATGTATCCAAATACAAGTATCAAGAAATAAGGAACAAGAAGGAAGGAAGGGAGGAAGGAAGGGAGGGAGGGAGGGAGGGAAGGAAGTTATCAGAATAAGATTTACTTCCCCTGGGCAATAGTTAAGGAAGAAAAGTTCCCTAAGAAATAATCAGGGGAAATAAGTCGTAATTTTGTTTCAGAAGAAAATTTAGCTGTAATATTGATTTGAGGAGGAAGGAAGGGGCATCCTGTAAAGCTTGCCATTGTTAGTATTAATTACTAGTCATGATGATTTGGTCATGCTAATGTCATTCCGTTTCCTCACATGAAAGTAAAAACAATAATTCCTGCCTTCCTGCAAATACTGCTTCTGAAGCTGGCACTCTGCCACTTGAGGATGACTCCAATCCTGCTTTTGGTTGGTTCTTTTGAAGTCTAGTGAACTTTATTGTCAAATTCAGATATTCTGGCTCTGAGTAGTTTGGGATTATAGTCTGGAACCACCAGATCCTGGCTAGATGCATTTTTTTACACACTTTATTTGAACATTTCTACTGACCTAATCTAACTCACTTTAATTGTCTGAAGCCTCATTTTAATAATCTAGGGTGAAATCTACTTTCTTATTTATCAGAAATGTTGATAAATTATTTCAATTCTATAATATTGTATTTGCTTATTTTAATGCATTTTGAAGTATATCAGACTGCTTCTAACAGCAAAAAGTCATTTCTCTAGTCTGCTAATTCATTATAAGAAGAATTTATTTACTGAATGACTGAATTTTATCATCTCAAGTTCTTCATTAAAGTCTCCAACAAAAATGTAACACTCCCCCATTCTTTTTTAAATATCTTCTTTTTCATTAATATTTTATGAAAGCTGCTGACTTTTCCAGCCTTACTTTTTGCCACAAGAAAAGTTATTTTCTTTAAAATACAACTTTACACAACTTCTCAACAGGTTATTGGCAACAAAAGCAACCATGAAACTTGATGTGCATGAAAGTTTTTTATTCCAGTTTGGTTTGCATTATGAAGAAAATAAAATGTATTCACTTCTTTATTAAAAAAAAAAACTGTTACAAAAGTTAAATGAAATTTAAATGAAACTAGAATTTTCTTTTAAACTTTAATGTCATTTTAGTTTTATTTCATTTTACATTTCATTCACATATCAAAAATTTGACAGGTTGGTTGGTCAAACAAGTTTGTAAATCACCATTTTCTGCCTCCAGACCAAGGATAACCTTCTAATAAGGGAAAAGCTGAGCTGCAATCATAGGACAGTACTGAGGCCCCAGTACAGAGAATAATGGAAGAACTTCTTCAGTCTGGGACCAGTGGCTTCCCTAGGCCTTCTCATAATAACGAACAGCAACAACATCACCAAAAGTGAGAGTCTGAAAGAGTCCAACAGTAACCAAACCTTTACACAGTGCCATTGGTAGCTGAATTTCTAAAGCTAATGTGATGTAAGAATTGTGCCAAAGAACAAAGACATTTACAAACACTAAATGATGCATAAGTTTCTCATTCTTAAAACAAGGAAACACAGCTCAATAGGAAATGTACTCATTACCTTACTCATATAACTGTAACCCCTCTGTACACTTTCTTTACAATAAAAAAAAAAAAAAACAAGGAAACACAAGAGAAACATGCTTAACACAGGAATTACATGTTTCACGTACACTTTGTTCAGGTTTCTGAAATGATTCTCAAAAGCAAGTTAAAAGAAATATTTAAATGCAAGTTAAAAGAATTCCCTCAGTCTTTATTGGTGCTGGGGTTTTGTTGTCGTTGTTTTGGTTTGGTTTGGTTTGGTTTGGTTTTGGAGACAGAGTATCATTGTGTAGTGCAGTCTGGCTTTGAATCAGGGATCCTCCTCTGTAATCCCAGGGTTGGGATTAGAGCATGTGCCATCATTCTCAGCTCATTTAATCTTAATTGCCACAGCAACTGGAGCAAACTCTGCCTGAAGAAGGGCATATCTACACTCTTGTCTCTGTTCTCTGCCTTGAAAATGCATGAAATTTAACGGGTTTTCATACAGTTCTCAATGCATAATCAGACAAATTTCTCACGAAAATCCAACGAATGATATATGGAATGACATACCAAACCAGCTGTGACTATCAAATACACTCCTTATACTCATTAGTTGGGCAATAATGGTAAAACTTACAGAATTAATTGGTAGGTATGAGGTGGAACATAGGTTCTACTACTTGAATGTCAAGTCCATCTTGAAAAAACTGTCATAGAATTGCTTTGTAGTATGAAGAGGGTGGTGTGCTTATGATTATCAAGTGTTGATATTATCAGGCACTGTAGGATTTCAAGGATATGGTGATCCCTATCACCCATTGCTTTCATCTCCATTTCTAAATTTGGTCCTATCTGGCCACTGTCATGCATGCTAGTGTGAGCTCTCTTCATTATTCCATAATCAGGGAAGCAGAGGTGAAAACGAAAAGGAGGACTTTTCATTAGTTCTTTTGAAAATGAAAACTTCCTTCTTCCAATCTTTGTAGAAAACTATGGGCAAATCTACATCAAAGGAAAACTGGCCCTCTTCTCCCCAATCGTATTTCCACATATAAAAGGTGTATGACTATTTCAATATACAACGGCCCTAATTTTAGCCAAGGGAATAAAAAAAAAAAAAACAAGCTTTCTTAAATAATAACAAAATCAACTTGACTATATCAGTATTAACTAAATAGGCTAGATCAACATATAACATTTTCCTCAGTTTCTAATGCTGCTTCATTATTAGAGAAATTATTTGTAAATTTTTTCCTTTTTTTTTTTTTTTTTGCTGGTACTGGGGCTTGAACTCAGGGCATGGGCATTGTCCCTGAGCCTCTTTGTACTCAAGGCTAAATCTCTACCACTTGAGCCACAGTGGTACTTCTAGCTTTTTCTGAGTAATTTATTGGAGAAAAGAGTCTCACAGACTTTTCTGCCTGGGTTGGCTTTGAACTGTGATCCTCAGATCTCAGCCTCCCAAGTAGCTAGCATTACCGGTGTGAGCCACTAGCACCCAGCTAATATTTTCCTATTATATAATGATTACATGCCTATTGTTATTGAACATATATATATATATATATATACATATATTTTTTTCTAAGTGAGTGGCCAGGCACTGGTAGCTCATACTGTAATCTTATTTACTAATGAGGCTGAGGTCTGAGGATTATGGTTCAAAGCCAGCCCAGGCAGGAAAGTTTGTGAGATTATTTCCAATTAATCATAAAAAAGCCGGAAGTAGAGCTGTGGCTCAAGTGTTAGAGAGCTAGCCTTGAGCAAAAGAAGCTCAGGGACAGTGCACAGGCCCAGAGTTCAAGTCCCAGGACTGGAGAAAGAGAGAGAAAGAGAGACAGGCAGAAAGAGACAGAGAGACAGAGGGAGAAAGAGAGGGAAATAACATGAGTTTAATTCTCCCTGAAGATAAATCAGAGCGTTTATTCTATTTTTTTTAACTCTAACTAATCTGTACTAATCTTATATAAACTAAAATAGAACAAGAAGGGATTAGAAACAAGAAAGGGTGAGTTGAAGAGGGGTGAAGATATTGAAGTGGTAACACAGATCAAGGTTCATCATACACATAAACTGCTTTATTAAATTGCAAAAATTCAATATATAATGTAAAATTGAGATAGGCAATGGAAATGTTGGGAGGGGTAGATAAACTGCTTCAGCGAATGATAACTCCTTAGTATACCTACTTAAAGATAAGTAAAATATGGTTTTTAAAAACCTAAAACAAAAAACAAGCCTCCAGTTTGATACAGGAGCCATTAAATAAACAAACTTGGTGTTTTCAGAATAACAATTACCTTCATGTATTTTGTGGCTGTTTTATGTTTAAATTTCATTTGAGATATTCACAGTAATCCTACAAAAAGTTCTTGCTTTGATTTACCACTTGGGGTAAATCAATAGCATATGTTTAACAAAGCTGAGCTACAGGAGCAATTAGTTCAGGTCATTTTATGTCTCTAGTTTTACATACAGTGACATAATTTTATTAAGGAAGGGAAAAGAAAAACAAAAAGAAGGGAGAACAGAGGGAGGGAGGAAGATAAGAAAAGTAGGAGGAGGGGCACAAAGAGAAATGAACCATCAATCTTCCCTTACCGCAACCATTTTGCCATCCTTAATTTCCCGTACAAGCTTGGTTTCCTTGCCATCCCATTTCTGTACATGAATGAGTTTGTCTCCATCCAGGCTCACAACAGACTGAAATCAACAATAAATAAAGGATATATCAATAGAGATAATTAATATTTCTGATTTGAATTCAAGTGGCATGACTTCTGGAGAGCTGCATGATTGAATAAATGATTGCCAGCTAATATCCTACTAATCCTTACAATGATATTTAGTATTAGTTAAATATCCTATTAATTCTTCACTGTTACTGCTAGATCTTTTGTTGTGTAAACTGTAATAAGTCATAATTTGATTGAGATGTATATATCTAGATTCAAAAACTTGACATATTAGAGATAAAATTTCTGAACCAGTGCTTTCAATTAGTCATCCTGATTTAAGCAAAATCTTTGAATGAGGACAGCAAGTTGGTCAATATGAGACAATCAGAGAGAGTAAACAAAGTCTAAGCTTTGGTTCATATTAACAGTATCCAAGAATTTCTAGAATAGATCTGATATAAAATGGGAAATGTATATGGCAAGAGACACACAGACTAGAGATTTTGGCTACATCAATAATTCATTGTCTAGAATATAACGTAGGCCTGCCAGAATGTTCCCTTCGGTACACTTCTCCCTGAATGGAAATTCTGAAGACCTTCTCTACTTTCCAATCTCAAAAACACAACAATGCTCAATAGGAAATGTACTCATTACCTTTGCTCATGTAACTGTTACCCCTCTGTACAGCATTTTTACAATAAAAAATGTACAAAAAAAAATCCCACAGAAGTAGAGATGCCTTTAGCCTTTCCTCCCTATTCATATCCTGGAGAAGAAAATGCTTCTTACCTTACAGTTTCTGTCATCTATACTGGTTTCCTCAAACTCTGTTCCCAGATGAAAACTGATCTCTGTGTTCTTGAACGTGCATTGAGTCCTGACCACCACTTTGTCTCCTTCCTGACTGATAATTACTGTGGGTTTGGTCACATTTCCCACTTGCCTAGTAGCAAAGCCCACACCTAAAATAGCAAAAAGAAAAGGTACAGACAGCAGCAACTCCCAAAATAGCCCCTAAAACAGAAATCTACTTTCTAGTCCTAGAATCCTGTTGTAAAGTGTAAGTTCCACTAGACCTATGATGAATCATTAATGATTACTCTACAACCATACAACTCCTGAGCACAAATAATAAGCGATGAAGAAACATTGGGAAAAATGAAAAAAAAATCACAGAAATATACCATCTCTCACACAGTATCAAATGCTCCATTATTTGGCCCTGGGCAACACAGCAGATAAATGCTACATTATAAAGTCATTCTGTGGGAGTAAAGTGACCTACCAGGACAGGGTGATTTGTCTAACTCTTGCTAATTTGATAGATGAAGAAAGGGATCTGCATATAGCTGCAGATTACAAAGAGAACAGCACGTTTTCTTTCTACCTACCTAAAGCCTTCATATACTCGTCAAAGTTTTGACTATCTGTCAGCTTCCAGGTAGCACAGAAAGACTCCACCATCTTTACCCTCTCCTTTCAACTCAAAAACAGGCAGGAGACAGAGGATCTCTGGTATTCCTGCCACTGCACTTCAGAAGACCCTTTTGCAACACAGTAGCAGCACAGGCCTTCTTATTTGGATAAGAAGCAGGCAAAAAGCCAATGATTTGAATTGCCAACTGGTCCCTCTTTTCCAGTAGGCTGACACACGGGGAGAGGTGGGAAGGAAAGCTCTTATCCTCTTTGTGATTGGCTCAGGCCACTGGGTTAGCGGAGTAGGTCAATGCCTCCCAAAGCACACACTGCAGCCCTTATGCCTGGGAAATCTCTGTAGGGATTCATCCGGGCTGGAGTCTGGGGAAAAAAAATGAGAGGGGGTCTTTCAGGTTTTGAAAAAAAAAATTGGCAACAGCAACCTCAAACTGTGAGGAAAAAAGAAGAAGAAAAAAGACACACAATAAGACATTCAGATTGATTTCCGTTAATGGCAAAGCTGGTTATACATGAGGACCCCTTAAAGACAAAATTACCCACTGAAATGTCAGACTTCTCTAACAAAGGTGCCTGAGGAGTGTATTTTATTTTCTGTTATATTTATAAGACTTGCAAAATGCAGGCTAGAATATGCCAAACTCGGGAAAGAGGCTGGGTGGGGAGCAAGTCCCTTCCCTAGAAGTCTTTCTATTGGAAGGCTGCTGGGCCTGAACATCAATGGAGGCTCATTAATTCTGGCCCCCTCTCAAGACAAACGGAGTGAATTTAAAGATCTCATTGTTCTTCCTAAGAATGTGAGAACCAGTCTGGGATGGAAAAGGAACCCAAGAAGAGTATGGTTAGGATTCACTAATGAGGCACTAAAATAAAGCAAGTGTTCTTTTCTCCCCTCCTTTCACAGATTATAGAATTGATGTGAGAAAAAAAAAAAAAAACCCTAGATAGAAGGTCATTTAGTAAGATTCTAAAGGATCTGCACCATAGGACCTTTTGATTTCATGAGGCCACATCTACATAAATACATTCTGTGTGGTGATGGGGGGGGGGGGGGGGGGGGGGGCTAGAGGAGTGGTGAGAACCAGGAGCGCGTTGGCTTCATTTAGTGCAGGCCTAGGGTACCCCAAGAACGGTTGTGAGAGAGTAGTTTAATGGAAGTCTCTGAAATTCCCTTTTCCCTAGACATCGTTTGTGCTTTGCAAGTGTAGACTGTCAAAGAAGTACTTCATGGAGATGGTGGATGAGTCTGACACATCAAATCTTGCTCTTCTCTTACTCTTCTCACCTAAAACTCAGTCCATGACATGTCACTTCTGTTCACACATGTTAGTCCATTGCTAGCTGTATGTTTCTACTTTGATATCTCCAAGGTGTGTGCTCGGCATACATTTATAGACTCTCTTCACACCTGGTCTTTGTGCCATTTGCAGCATATGTGTGAATGATATCATCTGTGGAAGTACACAGCCGATGCTTTACCCTCCAAATTCATCTCATTTTGTTTCTCAGATATTTTCTAATGATCACCTTCTTCCCATCTCCACTAGCACTATCTCAGTACTAGCAGCCACTGAGCTTACCTAGTTCTCTGACAATTGCCTCATCCCTGTTCCTGCAGACACACGTGCTCTCCAATCCTTTCCTTACACATTCGCAGTACAAATCTGAAATCTGCATCTCTCTGTTTACTGGGGTTGAGCATTTGTTCACATGCTCCTCTGCCATCCTTTGGAACATCTGCTCTGACAAAGTGATACTCCAGTCTTTTGCCTTTTTAAAAAATTGGGTTGCTCATTTTCTTACTACTGAGCAGTAAGTATTCAGGTGAGAGTCTTGATCACTTTTAGGTTGAGTCATTTGTTGGCTATGTGTTTTGTGAATTTTCTCTTTTCATTTTTCTTCACTTTCTTATTCCAGATAATAGTTTTGCTAATGTCACAAAACAGATCAAATGTACATGTTAACTTAAATAAACTTACAAGACAGTAAATTTTATGTGTATAATACTACAGAGTTTATTATTTATTTATTTATTTTGACATTAGTGGGGCTTGAACATTGTCTCTGAGCTCTTTTGCTCAAGGCTAGTTTTCTACCACTTTGAGCCACAGCTCCACTTCCAACTTTCTGGTGGTTAGTTGGAGATAAGAGTCTCAAAGACTTTCCTGTTCAGGCTGGCTTTGAACCATGATCTTCAGATCTCAGCCTCCTGAGTGGCTAGGATTACAGTCTTGGGCCACCCACCCAGCTAATACCACTGTCTAGTTACTTTATAAAATGTAAGATTGAATTTGTCCTTCTCTCACTAAAGCACTTCAAATGGGTTCTTTCTAATGTCAACATAAGACCAAAATTTGTAATAAGCATGGAGTAGCCACTGGCATTGGGAGGATTCTGTAAAAATCCAAACAAAGGCTCTTAAGTCATGTCTAAACAATAAAAGCCATAGATAACACAGTGTCAATTGCCTGACCCAGGGTCCCAGCCTGACTCACAGCCCATCCTCATGGCCATTTGCAGATACCTGCCAGTCTGAGCAGTGGCAGATAGAACAAGCAAAGCAGAAACTTACCTAGAGCACAGAGTTTCCAGGAAGTGACTACAGTCTCCTGACCTGAGAAGGTAAAATGGTGACTGATCTAAACTGGCTGCACTTGAAAATATCCTAACTAGCTAAGAAAACCTGGAAATGGAAGCAGACCAAACAGTAAAATCCCTCTTACATCAACAGAGAAACCTTTGAACCATGTACCTGAGCAGCCTGATTCATGAGCTCTTCATAAATTCTCTTTAATATGTGTATTAAAATTTAGATAATTCATTTATCTATGCAAGCTAGTCCCTGTGATAAAAGTTCTCAAACTATTTTACTACAAAATATTCTTCCCTAGCCTTTTAATATTCTATAATACTTAAACATTTAACTTCTTTAAATGTATTTCATTCTACAATACTTAAACTATAAATACTATAAAGCACTTCATTTCCATATTCTAAAATTATAGCACTATTCAGGGCATCTTAGTTCCCTGTAGATCATAGGTGCTAAAATGTTTGCCCATACTCATTGGTTCTTTTCTGTCAGATAAAGAATATGACAGCTTGACATACTTAATCTAATATTGAGTGTATATTCCTGTGGTTGTGAGTCCCTTATATAACACAAAAGACTCTCGATTTAGAAGCAGTTTAGCAGAAGTGGTGCTGGGGCTCAAGCGGTAGAGTACTCGCCTTGAGCTGAAGAGTGCAGGGACAGTGCCCAACCCCAAAGTTCAAGTCCCACGACCGACCAAAAAAAAAAAAACAACAACAAAAACAAAAACCAAACAAACAAAAAAACCCAGAAGCAGTTTAGGATAGCATATTAGTCATCAATATACAAAAGAGAATATTATTACACAGATGTCTATAGTAGAAACCTTAGGAAAAGCCAGTTGACTATTATATATCTACACATATTTAAGCTAATTTACATTATTCAGATATAACGTTACTGTTTGTTGATCACAAACAATAGCCTATTTGCTGATTATTGAGGATGTAAAAGGAAAGGAAGCCAAAGAATAGAGATTACACTGTTCTAAAAAATATACACTAATGTTTCCAAGTTTCTAAAACCTAGGAGCAATATACAATTTTGCTACAATTTTTATAATACCCATGCATCCACAAACATAAAAAGGAGACAAATGCAGTGAATTGGCTCCTCTCCTAAAGCTATTACCTTTATGTATTAACTAATGATAAAGGGGGTTATAAAGAATTCATTATGAAGTGTTATATTTTTAAGTAGTGAGATAAACAAAGAGAGGGAAGATACTTTGAGAGATCTTGGCAAACTCTCCAGATGAAACTAAATCTCCTGGTGCCTGCTTTTAAACGGTTTTTCTTGCTTAAGAAGACAGAGAGTGTTAATAAATTTTTAATATTGTTCTCAAGCAATGTGAGTCAACTAAGGTCATGACATTTTTTCTTGTAAGATACCCAAAGATTTTCACCAAGAGAAATTTAAATAACATTTAGAGCAACTGCTTTAGGGTTTTTTTTTTTTTGTTAATGTTGTTGCCAAATTATGCATAATAAAATAGTAGTGAAGTATCTCTATAGTTGGAAATAAAATGTGATTATTTGATGAAGGGATTGTGGACTATTTATTATCTCTCCCAGGATAGGAAATAGAGGAAATAAAAAAAAATACACTTGTCTGAAACCCTGGCACAGACATTCTCTAAGGATTCACCCATCTGTCATTGGCATACTGTTCATTACCCAGCCCCATGCAATCAGCTCATCATCTCAGTGCCAGGGATTGCCTGGAAAGAAGAAGAAGGAGGAGGGGGAGGGGGAAGGGGAGGAGGAGGGGGAGGAGGAGGGGGAGGAGGAGGGGGAGGAGGAGGGAGAGGAGGAGGGGGAGGAGGAGGAGGAGGAGGAGGAGGAGGAGGAGGAGCACCCATACTTAATTTCTTAGGTATGAAGAATAAAAAAATGTCCTTGGGCTGGGAAGGTGGCTTAGTGGTAGAGCGCTTGCCTTGCATGCCTGAGGCCCTGGGTTCGATTCCTCAGCACCATATAAGCAAAAAGAAAAAAAAAAGCCAGAAGTGGTGCTGTGGTTGAAGTGGTAGAGTGCTAGGCTTGAGCTGAAGAGCTGAGAGACAGTGCCCAGGCCCAGAGTTCAGGTCCCATGACCGGACACCAGCCCCACCCAAAAAAAAATGTCCTTAATTTGCTTCTAGAGCTGACAAGGTGACTCAGGAAGGGCCTTTTCTTATTCCAGGTTTGTTATAAAAGACTTCTGGCACCCTCCCTCCTCAGGCCATTTAGATGTCATAACTCTGCCAAGAAAGTACTTTCCAACACCCCTGCTAATTTCTACTCTCTTTTAGAATCTAGCTCAAACATTACTTCCACAAGAAGACTGGCTTGAAACAGAATGGTTATGTCATACCATTTATGTTTTATATGAATTTCATAATTTCAATTATGTTTTATATTATGATGTTTTTATAATTCATTGTTTAGTATAACTGTTTTCTACATAAGAACAAAAGTTTTGGAGGCATCTATTTTATTCTCCAATGAGATTCCTGTTCATTGTGTATAACA